CATTTTGCTTAATTGATTGATAAACTAGTTTGTCATACTTTAAAGTTGTTTAAAGTAGTGCATATTTGCCTGTATACTTGTGCGTTAACCTCCTAGTTTTTTTTGAAAAAGGCAGCATTTTAATTAATATGCCAATATATAACTCGTTATTAAAATTCGAATATCTAATTTATAATCAACAGACTGCTAATTGATTTTTATATTTTATAATATAAATTGAATGTCTGATATAAAGTTATCAAGTTATTCAGGTTATCAAGTTATTCAAGTTTTAAAGTTATTCAAATTTTCAAGTTAAAAAGTAAAGTTTCAGTGAAGAAAATGGCATCTTCTGGTAACAGAGTTACATTAGCAATATATCTGAGTTGGACTAAAGATGAAGTTTGTGGAAAGGAAATAATCATGGAAAATAGAACAATATTTTTGTAAGCTATGGTGTAAGTTTTGTAATTGCTTTACGAACAATATATGGAGCTATACTTTGAAAAGTTGGTGGACCAAGTATCCAAATTAATGCAAATTAGCAAGTTTAATCATATGCTTATCTGGGTCGAACTCATCAGTAGAACAAGCCTTTAGTTATCTGACAATCCTTATGTCAGACCAAAGGCTCAGAATCAACCACAAAACACATGACCCTATCTTGGCAATCAAAATCAATGATCCAAATTTTAGTGATAATGATAGGAAAAATGTAAGCAAACAGGTTACTGATATATTTTTATAAAAACAGCCAACAGCTATTTTTGATCCAATAATTCAACCTGCTACAATAGTAAATGACGAAAAAGGTGACATTAATTACGAGTTTAAGCAGTGAAAGTAAATGGGAAATACTTGAATCGAGTGAAAGTGAAGAAACTGCGTTCCGTTTTGAAATTGAAAATTTTTAAGGCTAATATATTTAAAATGAATATTTATACATAATTTATAACTATATATACTAAATGATTTCTTCATATTTTTTTTTTTTTTTTTTTATATTTTCGCTGTATTTAGTAGATTTAAATATATTTTACAGCAATAAACCTGATATATAAAATAATACTGCATTTAATATCCTTCTATTGGTTCTATTCATAAAAAAATGTAAAAAAGATATATTTTTTTAAATTCATATAACGCTTTTTTTTATACACATCTATATTATATAAGAAGAATATATTTAAGAAGTATATATACCAGAATATTAAAAAATCTATTTGTACCAAGTCTCTTAAAAATTAAAAAATAGATTACCTCAAATTTTAGCTTACATATCACCTCAACATAACATATATTTTCTCCTAATTTCCGAAAAGAATTTAAAATCAATTACGTTATCATAAAAAAGTATGATAGTAAATTAAATGAAAACGGTAGTAATGATTAAAATTTTAGTATAAACAGGCAAAAAACAATTGTAAAAGAATAGAAATCTTTGGTTCAAGGTTTATTTAAAAACAGATTTCAATATAATTGTCACTATATTTTTAAAGCTCAGAGATATCAGGGTTAAATTTTTAAAATTTAATTTATTTACAAAGCACTAGAAAAATGAGTCAACTAAAGAAGCACAATAAAAAATGTTTTATTTTATTTCATTATTATTATCAGACAATATATTAATAATCAAATAGATCTTACAAAATTGCTACGTTAATTGCAAAAAATTTTAAGTCAATGTTAAGATGCTTGAATAAAGAAACATGATGGTTGCGATGGTTGTTTTTCTGCCATTTTTTGTGTTGCTTGCAAATTATTGGTTTGACTGGAATAAGCTCAACAAAAATCCAATTATACAACGATAAAATTGGAGTCTAAATAAAAATCGAGAAACAAAACCAAAACAACATAATAACAAAAACTCACTAAGTAGAGCGTACACTAAAAACTTCGAGCGAAAGATAAAAACTGCAGTGCAACTTATAAAAACTATTATCTCAACTTTACAAGTATCCAAATATTTGAAGATTAATTAGCGAAGTGCTATTAAACAATTTGTCCCTCTCCTACTTGTTAATATTGCATTGTAGAAATTTTTATATACAATGACATTTTTATTCAAAAAGAAGAAGAGAAATGAATGAACTTTTATGATACTATAATTAAAGTCAATCGTTTTTTAAAAAAAAACTATGATGTAAAATAGTTTTTTTTTATATTTATTATTTAATTAATTACTAAATTATTAAATAAAAATTAAATATAAAAATTTAAAAAAAAAACTTTTTTTTTTAAATTAATTAATTTAATATATTTTTAAACATTAATAAAAATTTTTTTAAATATTTTATAAAAATTTTTTGAATAATTAATTAATAAATAAATTTTTTTTTTTTGCTTTTTTTAAAAAAAGTTGTTTTTCTGTCTTTTTATCGCTAAAAAAACATTTATTATTACAATTAAAATTTTTACTATACCTGGCATAAAGATCCAACAAAATAAAATTTCAAAAAAAATAAAAAATAATTAATCTAAACATAATAATTTTAATTTTTCAAAAAAGCCTGTGCAAGACTATCTAGGTGGTATAATTAGATTTTATAAATACAAAAAAAAAAAAAGAGTAATATTTCAGCATAAGTGTAAATTTTAACAATTTTTTACTTAAAGAATTATTTTTCTTTTTTTTCTTGACAAAATTTGTTGATTAGAGAATCTGTATCAAGAAGTTTTATTAAATTTAAAAAAATTGTTAGATAAAATTGATAAATTATTCAAAGTTTCTTGGTTCATATTTAAAACTATTTCAAAAATTAACAAATGTTGAAATTTTTTAAAAAGTTTAATATGATCTCAAAAAACTTTTGATCAATTTAAGTTTTAAAAAACTTCTTTTACTGGAACAATTTGTTATAATAAAGCATAAATGTCCAGCGCAAGAAAAATATCACGCAAGATTATTTTTTTCTAAAATTTTTGCTTGCATTTCTTTATATTTTCCCAACATATTATAAGCATTATTGTATGACTTAGATCTGCAGTCTGAAGAGTTGATTCCAATTTTATTCAAGAAGTTTACTGTAACTTTGTCTAAGTTTGATCTGGTATGATTTTCAATTTGTATAAACTGTAAGAATTAATTAATTGGTTTGTGATATTTTTCAGGTGTAGAATCTAATAAGATTCCAAAACATTAAGAATCTTTTAATCAGTCATGATAGTTTTCAGAACATTTATTGCCATTAAAGAAACCAATGTGTTGTGACTTGCTCTAATTAAATAAACCATTAAGGCTTCTCTGTGTTCTTTAAAATTTGTGTGGTTTTTTAACAGTGAAACAGCATTTTCCGTCTCTCAAACCAGTTGTAGCAAGAAAAAAATAAGAAATCTTAAAAACCTTGCATATAAAGCAGTAAAGATTTCCTTTTGCTGGCAAATAAATCAACCATTCACGATCATATTTTTCAACATTTTCTCTTGAGCCTTTGAAAAAAGATTTTGAACAAAAGTTGTTTTGAACTTCAAAACAAAATATTGTCTTCAGAAAGATATTCCATAACTTTTCTGTAAATATTTCAGTTACTTTAAGTTACAGCTATCAGTGATTAATTCAGGAGAATGCGTGACTTCTTACAAATGATGATCATTTTCTGGAACTGATTGTTCTGTTTCAATAAAGCTATTTATGGGTTCTGTCCATCTGAATTTTATCAAAAAGCTATCAAGTTTTAGAATTTTTTTAAATTCTTGTTCTTTTTCAGCTTTTTTCTTATGCTTTTGATTCCTTTCTATATAAGGGGTTGTCCATAAATTACATCAAGCAATTTTTGACTGTTTTTGACCTCCCCTCTTCATCACAAAATCGTACTACTTTAGTAGCAAGTTGTCACAAAACCACTAACTGCCTCCCCCCGTAGAGTGTGGCGTAATTTATGGACAACCCCTAATCAATTCATTTTCTAAATAAAAAAAATAAGTAACAGACTTGGTTAGAAAAGGCATGTGGTTGCACTCTGTTCCTGACTACATATATTTGGTATTTAGTTGCCACAACTTGGCCATGGCTTATTTAGATGTATGAGATTATTTAAGTTTATGTATGTTCCATCTATGTCTATGCAATTAGTTTTTAAAATAGTTTTTTAGCTTCGAAATGGATTAAATAAAATAATGAATTGTTAGAGATTAGTTGGTTGGATTTGTAGATTAGCTTTGTAATTTTTGATTATAAATTTATTTCCTTGATAGCAAGTTCTACATGTTTTGGGTATAATATAATTTTAAATTGAAATAAAGTTTTAAATTTTTCATATAAGCGTAGTGGGCATCTTTGGAAAATATTTGAATAGGAAGGTGCTTTTGTATCTGCTGTTTTTTAGTGCTTGTATTTATTTTTGGATTAGTTAAATATTGCTTTGTTTGAGTAGTTTAGTGAAACTCTTTTGCATATTGAATTAGGTAAGAGTTTGAGAAATTGTGGTGTATGATTAGAAGAAGTATGGATATAATGGAGGTTGTTATTAGGTTTTTTGAAAAGTTTATAGGGGTTTTCTGTTAAGTTAGAAGTTATATTAAGGAAGTCAACTGATTTAAGATAAGGTGTCATATTTATTTGAAATGCTATAACATTAAATTCTTGGGTTATATATTTTTTAAAGCTTGGTCTATTTCTTGGCTGTTGAGCTTCATAATATTAATAAGTAATATAAAGGTAGTATAAGCTGTAATAAATATAATATTAATAAATGAAGGGTTGTTGTGCTATTAAAATTGAAATCACCAATTTAATGTTAACAAAAATCCCATTCTCCAGCTTAAGTTTGCCAAGTTTCATACATTGTAACTTGGCAAAAATTTTATCGTTGTTTTGAAAATTATTGAAAATTAATAGTTATTAAATATTATTAGAAAAAAAAAAGAGAAATATGGTAACTTATTAATGAAATAAAACTGTGAAGAAAATTGCTATTTTATTTTAAAAGGATTATTGCTGTTTTTACCAACTGCAATTAAAACTCTGAACATGTTTAAACTGTACATAATTGTTATTAATATGCTTTAAAAATTTATTAAAGGTGACGTGGATGAAGTAACAAGTTGTTTAAGTGTCCCAGCAGAGTTTAAGAAGGTTGAAATTGTTTGGAATAAAGGTGGAAATTGTGTTGAAATATCTGGAAGTTTTAATGATTGGAAAGAATGTATTGCACTTTCGAAAATGTAACTATTTCTTTCTTTTTTTTTTAATTTTTTTAATTTTCATTTTATCCCTTTATTTAACCATAAAATCAAAAATTGCAAATTTAATTATAATTTGCAAAATTAGGTTCTTTGTACTTATATATTAAAATAACAAAAGTAAATATCAAGATATAGAAAAAGCAATAACAACTAAATTGAAAGCAGGGATGCAGAGTTCTAAAAGGACTCCAGCTTAATATCTCTGCTTTTTTGAAGCCTGTAATGTCCAGAAGCTCTATTGACTTATGATCTGTTCTAAGAAGAAAATTCATGAGATTTAATGACTTAAAACTTGTTTTTAAGCCCAGAGTCCTGGAGTCCCAGAATCCTTGCCGGCATTATACCTAAGGACTCTGAGTTCATAAAATAATTGTCATTTTCCTATTAATGTCTGTAAACTTATTTATATTTTTAGAGCTCCTGGATACCAAAAATTAGAATAAAGTAATCTTTTTGTGACTTACAAATCCGGAGGATTATAAATCAAATCCTTTTTGGGACTCTGCATCCTTGATTGACAAAAAAAAAAATGCAAAAAAATAAATACATTCAACATTTTTTATATACATGAGTTATAAACAATACACGAGTTATAAACAATAGACAAAATTTATTAAAATTGTTCTTTTTCTTTTCTTCCAATAAAATATTGGTGGTAGGAAAAAATTTAGTTCTTTTTTATTATATTCCATTTTTGAAGACTTTTTTCTTTTAACTTTGTTTTTATTTGTTTCGGTTTTTTTTTCCTGTTTTCTATTTTTATTTAAATCCTTTATTCTTGTTTATGCACTTATTTTTTAAACTTTTATTACCAAAATGTTTTTGATTTATTTTTTCTTCATAAAACTTTTTTTTTTACTTTTTACCATTTAAACAAACACTTCCTCCATTCAATATATATTCAATTTTATCTATAAATATTTATTAATACCACATGTAAATAATAAATTTACTTTTTAATTTAACTTAATGTTATACAGTTAAGAATAAATTTCTTAATTGTATAACATTATATATAATGTTATACAGTTAAGAAATTTATTCTTAACTGTATTACATTAATGTATAATGTTATACAGTTAAGAATAAAGTTCTTAATGTTATACAGTTAAGAATAAATTTTTTCTTTTTTTCTTTTTATTTTAATATTTATTTTATTACTTTTATTTACAACTTTTTTTAGCAATTTTAATATTTTAAAATAAAATTGTTTTAACATAATTAAAATAAGCAGGCATTTTTATAATACCTTATAAACAAGTTATCACATTTAATTAATTCTATTAATTAAATGTGATAACTTGTTTATAAGGTACATAAATGTACATATATTTACAGTTAATACACATTCATTAACTGTAAATATATGTACATAAAATGTGCGCAACAATGCTTTATAAGATCTTAAGGTTATTTGGAAACACTTGCTTTGTTAAGTTGGCAAATTTATACTATATTGTATATATAAATATAGATATATATTTGTGGACTTTTTAATAGTAAAAGTCATTGCAAAACATTTATTTGAAACTTAATTTTACTAATAAAGTTTTTCTACATTCCTTAAAAACAAAATTTATATTTTTAAATTCTATTAAAATTAAATTTTTTTTTATAAAACAATTTGTTTCTTTAAAAAATTCTTAGTTGCGGTTAAGTGCTTTTATTACCTAATATTTTTATCACCAAATATTTTCTAAATAAACATTACATGAATGATGTTAAACAATAAAATAAATATTCAAAAAAAAAATTTCGTATAACTGAACGCTTTTGACATTTATATTTTTAAGAAAGTTTTCGCCTAACTGAGTGCTTTTGACATTTACGAAAAAAGCAAGCTGCGTAACGCTTCTTAACAATTACTTTACTTTATATCTAAATCCTAAAATAAAATTTGTTTAGAATTAAATATTATAAAAATTTTTAGTTTTTATTTAGGAAATATTCAATTAAATTTAATTATGTTTACATGCTCTAAAATAACATAACTATCACAGTGTCGAAAACAAACTTTGACACTGTAAATTTAAAGATATATTATTATTTTAGATTTACTTTTCCTTTTAAAGAACTCTTGAATTAAAAAATAAAACAAAAAAAAGCAATATAATATGCTGCTGATAAAGGGTGACTGCTGATATAAATCAATAGTCACCCTTTTAAACGACTTAATTGCATCTATGAAATATTTTTAATCGCCCTTCACAAAATTTATGGCTACAACATTTTTCTTATTGAAATAACATTTTACAAATTCTTAAATTTTTAATTAATAAATAATTTTGGTAAATAGCAACATTTATTAGAGATATTTGACTAATTCTCTAATATTTAATCAGAAAGTATTAATAGTTATGCCAATTTAGTTTAAATTGATAAGTCTTGATAATTGCGTATATGTATATATATATATATATATATATATATATATATATATATATATATATATATATATATATATATATATATATATATATATATATATATATATATATATATATATATATATATATATATACATATATCAGGGCTCGAATTAAGCGTATCGCGATTGCTTTTTATACTTTTACGATTAATTTTTTCTTAAAACATATATTTTCGCGATTGGTTTACTTTTTTAGTTGTTTATTTACTTTTTTTATAATTTAGCTTTTTTTTTTTTTGGCAATTCTTAAAAAGTAATGTTTTCATAGTACGTCACGCAAAGTTTGTCTTTTGAATAGAATCATGATTTGAATAGAAGATGATTTGCTCTTTTGCGCGGAGATTTTTATTCAACGTGAAGCATTTTTTAGTTTAAATTACTTTAAATCTCTGCGTAGAAGCAAATTAAAGAAACAAAAGTTAAAAATAATTTTTTCTTCATTCTATTTTTTTTAACAAAACAGCATTTTTATCTTTTTTTAAAGAAACTGTTGCTCCAAATTAACTTATTAATAATGAATTAAGGTATAATTTTTTAAACAATTTTATATAATTATTTTTACTACTTTAAGTATCATAAAATATATATTAATTTGTTTTTATTAAATAAAATTTCTATTAGTAAAATTGTACTAATAGAAACCAGCAACTTTTTTGCTTTCACGTTTTTCGCTTTTAACGACCTTGAAACTATTGAAGTTATATTTAGTTAACTTTATTGAATGGATAGAGTATATAAATTAACTTACAACCTAAATCAAAACAACCAGTTAAGTTAAGATAGTAACTTACAGTTACTCAAGTATTAATTTAACAATTATATTAATTTATTTAATATACTTGCAAAAGTTAGCCATAGATATGTTTCAATTTAGATCTTACATGTTGTTAAAACGTAATACAAGCTTTTAACTAATAATTATTTTAACAAAAATTGTCGAATAGAATATGAAAAACGCGACACCATTTTTTTATATTTTCATTTTATTTATAGCGACATCTAGACTACACATTTTCTCTAAATACAAAAGTTGTTTTCAGGAATTTTTTTAAAAAAAGAAATCTATTTGAACAAGAGAACTTTAGCTTTAAAATTCACTTATTCAAACAATTTTGTCATTAAAATTTAAAATTGAAAAAAAAGTTTAAATTTTTTTAAAAAGTTTGATGAAACAAGGGAGAATGAAGATAAAAGTTTTTTTTTCATAGATTGTAAATTTTGTTAACGTTTTGAATTATATATTTTTTCTTGAAAATAGTTTTAAAAGTAGAAACATTCTATTGCATACATCAAAGCAGTGATTGCAAATTGCAAGTTATAATAAAAATTATAAAAATTTAAAATTAAATTTAATAAATTATTTTACTTCTGTTCAAAAAGTTTTTTTTCTAAAAAATAATTTAAGCATATTCTTATACTTAATATAATTCGATTTATTAAACACAATTTTTTGTTTCACTTTTTTTTGGAAAACAATTAGAATTTAAAAAAAATTGAATAAAAACATCAGTTTAAAAGCCTTTTGAATGAAAAACCTAATTATACTTAAAGGGATCCCTAAGTGCTATAAAGATATGATCTCATATGAAAGAGCATAAAAAAAAAAAAATGTTTGATGTACATTATTTTTTCTAAAACGCAATAATGAACACACACTAACAAATTTAATTTTCAAAAAAACGCTTTTCTTCGATTAAAAAAAATGCGTCTTGTCCAAAGTTTATTGACTCTACTGCCTCAAAAAACTAACGTTAGTACGTCAAATTAAACAAAGTAGACAAAATGTCATTATTGCAAACTTATTAGTTGGTAATTAAATTTAAAAGTAAAGTCGTTTTTTTTCAACTAACACATAATTACTTACAAGAATAAGTTTTGTAGCATTATGTGAAAATATATTTGTATATTAAAATTTTTTTTATAATATTAATTTATATATTTGTGTTATAAGGGCAATTCCACTGCTAAAAATGAATAGAAGTCAAATTTTAAGCTCTTTTTAGTCAGTTAAAAACAAATGAATATTGACTTAGACATAAGAAAGTTTATTTAAAATATTTCCTTAGTAAAAAAATAAATTTATTTCAGTAATTTTTATGGTTTCAAAAGTGACGGTTACTCTCATTTTTGCTTGATACAAAAAATAATGATTGTAAAATGTTTTAGTTGAATTAACATTTATGTTAAATTGCTATATTTTTTTGGTTCAAATTGATAAGGTTGAATAGACATTTTATTAGAAATTAATCTAAGACAAGGCTCGAATTAATGCAAAAAAATCTAATCGCGAAAAAAAAAATTTTTTTTTTGCTCTCTCCCCCTCCCCCCCCTTTCTCTTATAGCTCGCGCCGATGTGCGGTAATGGGGGGAAAAAGTTATTGTCAATAAATCAAATAACATCGTCAAAAACTTAGATACCACGTTTTTTATAATTTATTGTTTCTTGAATAAAGGACTAATAAAAGTTTAAATATAATTAAGTTTTTCATTTAAATGGCTGATGTTTTTATTCAATTTTTCTATTTCAAGTTTTCCAATAAAAGATAAAACA